CCCTAAATCGAGGTACTTTTAAAAATAAAGCATAAATATTAAATTATGATTATAATTATTCTAGGGGTGGTTCTCCCGGGAAAGATTCATAGTTAAGGTAAGGCTATTGTCATAAGTTTATAAGCTTATGGACCTCCATTTTTTAAAATAACCCCCCCCCATAAAAAAATTAATATTAAAAACATCCACCCTCGAACCAGTGAGCCTTTCAAATGAAAACGCCATTCGCTCCGATGATATCTCTCATTCTCTGGAAACAGTATCCCTTTGACTTGAGACTATACTTGTCTTGATTTTTCAGCAAAGTCCAACCTCTCATTTACTGCAATCGAAAAGGCAAAAATCCTTAAAAAATAAATATGCTGGTCTAACCAACACTGTGCTCATACCAACCGTTTCTAATATATGCATGTTGGGAAGTAAGGCCCTCAATTTCATTAAAAACATAGGGGAAAAAAATGAGACATATCTCTGGGATCCCAATGAAGAATTTTACCTTCGTCATCAGATTTCTCTCTCGAAATCTGCCGGTCCAATTTTTTAAGCACTCACTCTTTTCTAGGTGATATGTACCTTTTTTAATATTTATTAATTATTTTTTTAGTTCTTTTTAATGTTTATCTTTATAAAATATATATTTTTATGGTATCGCGTCATTACAGAGAAACCATTACAGAGAAAACATTTACAGAGAAACTTTTACAGAGAAAATAATTAAAGAGAATGTCGTTTAAAGAGAATTTTTTTATAAGAGAATTATTTAATAGAGAATGTATTTTACAGAGAAACTTTTACAGAGAAAACAATTAAAGAGAATGTTGCTTAAAGAGAATTTTTTTATAGAGAATTATTTTATAGAGAATTATTTTATAGAGAATGTATTTTACAGAGAAACTTTTACAGAGAAACTTTTACAGAGAAAACAATTAAAGAGAATGTCGTTTAAAGAGAATTATTTTATAGAGAAAACTATTATAGAGAATTTTTTATGTTTAAAGAGAATTATTTTATAGAGAAAACTATTATAGAGAATTTTTTATAAAGAATATGATTATTTTATAAAAAATTTGTGTAATTATTACAAGGAAAAAAATTTACAATATTTGAAATAATATTAAATATTATAATTACCTTTATAATGTTGTTAAAAGTTACTTTGGAAATGTAACTGTAATAAGTTAAGTTAGTAGCTAAATTTGGAGAAATATAACTAGTTACAGTTACTAGTTTTCTTTTTTTAAATATAACTAGTCACTACTATTTTTCATAAATAACTAGCGAAATTTTTATAGAGAAAACTATTAGAATTTCTCATATGATATTATAAAATTTGGTTAAAAAATTTATAACGCTCTCAAAAATAATTATTGAGCTTTTGGTGTAATTTATCCGTGATTTAATATCATAAACCTTAGATAATCTTAAAATGATGATAAATAAGAAATAAATGTTATATAGAGCGCTTTCTTATATTTTGTGAATGCCAAATTAGAGAATAGAATACCATTTGTATATGAAGTTATTATAAGATAAACCTAGATAAAATACCAAATAAGAGGTTAGCAATGTTCATTTCGAAATATCAAATAAATTTTTATTCATAATAAATCCAAATAAACATAGTATAAATAATATACCAATATAAAAAAATACAATTATATTATTAAATTAAACATTTAAATTTAAATTGTGGGATAAAGCCCTTAAATAATCCATCATGGTTCTTGAATGGAAATCTTCAACAATTAGAAGAATCCTTTTGGATCTTTCTCGATATTCTTTCTTTGACACTGGAGCTAATAGTCCTAAAGAATATTGTTCCAATTTGTAACTATTAAGGCTATCTTCGTCTTTGAGAGCTATAAATGAAAAGATTTTTAAAATTTAAAATACAATATAATTACTAACTCTTTATAAATTTCCAGATCGTTGGATGATGGGAACTTATATGAGACGAAAAACTCCGATGCCAGCCCTCTACAGAATTATTTGTATTCGGTTCACTAGCTAGTGTCGATTCATAACAATTCCATAGGGAAATACCAAATATTGGAGATCTCCTCTCCATCGCTATCATTTTCCCAATCCATGTCTCTTCAAAATATTCTATCAAGGGGGCAAGAATAGCCCTATTTTCCTGATAGAATATGGAGGCACATAATTCCTCAAATCCGTGAATTACGTCCTCAACTGGGACATATGCCAGTGACATTAGCATCTTTATATACATAGCAAAATTAGTTTCGCTTTTGTATGCATTGCAAATGCGGGGATTTTTCTGGACCGTGCGCCATATGCATTGCGACATATGAAACAGACACCCGCGCATTGCAGTCATTGGAAATGACTGTTTAAAAGCAGATAAGGCTGCTAATTCAAAATCAATCATAATAACTTTTGGATTTAAAAAAATTTGGAAATTTTTAATTTGATTGAAAATATTAAGGTAATCTTGTTGGCGACGTGATGCCATCAGAACATAAATAGCGGGAATAATGGTTTTATGTTTCATCCCGTGGATGGTGTATATTTGTTGGAAGAGAGGGAGGCATGTTTTGAATGTGCCATCTGCATACCATTTATCGCATGTTGATAAAATTGTAAATTTTAATGGTAGAAAATATTATGCATCGGTGATCATGATGACCACTATCATAAAGTAAAAATTGTTCATTATTATTGGATAATTGATATTCGATTTTAAACATGATATAAGATTATAAAACTTTCTGAAATTCAAAAATAGAGTTTTACATTGTGTCAATTTTACTCTATTTTAATGCTACCAAATATAATGATATAAAAAAATTAAATTTTATCTATTGGACCGATTTCTTTCAAAATTAGTACCTCTTTCTAAAAAACTCACTTTATTTCAAATGATGAACAAATTTAAGAAAGTTTAGCAAAAAGATAATTAAGATATTAATGTATTAAATAAATGATGGTAAATTGAGATGTAAGATTGGTCTTTTGTAAGTATTTCATACATATCGTTAACACATAGTATATGGCCAGTCAATACATACTATGTTTTGACTGGCCAAAAAAACATTATGCACACCCTAAGTAATAATTACACAAATTTATACAAAAATGTTATATATTATATAGATTAACATTTTTTATAATATAATCATATTCTTTAAATAAAATTTTATAAAAAATTCTCTATAAAATCATTCTCTGTAAAAATATTCTCTATAAAATCATCTCTGTAAAAACATTCTCTATAAAATAATTCTCTATAAAAAAATTCTCTTTAAACGACATTCTCTGTAATTGTTTTCTCTGTAAAAGTTTCTCTGTAAAATACATTCTCTATAAAATAATTCTCTATAAAAAAATTCTCTTTAAACGACATTCTCTTTAATTGTTTTCCCTTTAAACGACATTCTCTTTAATTGTTTTCTCTGTAAAAGTTTCTCTGTAATTGTTTTCTCTGTAATGGTTTCTCTGTAATGACGTGGAACCATTTTTTATATATATAATTTTTACTATATTCTAATTTGTTTTTTTTAAATATATTTTTAAATTAAATTTAATATTGTTCATATTTGTTATAATTTTTTACATTTTTTTTTAAAAGTTTTTTATGAATAAAAGTATATAAGTTAAAAAAAATTATATAAATCCCACCATCGTCAATTTATATTTTTACAATTTTTTAAGTTTAATTTATTTTTTTTCAAGTTTGGACCGCCGTATAATTCTTGTTAAAAAGATCAATTTATTAAAACGGGTGACCCAATATTTTAACCAAATAATAAAACGCGAGTTTGGAGATATTGCTCATAGATGGCAGAAAGATTTGGGCATCTATCAACGAAATGGCGAGGCTTGCGTAATATTAGTTTGGCTAAAATCATAAATTAAAACCAATTAAACAAGCCGTTTAACAAAACTCCCTCTCGCCCATAACATCCACTCAAATTGATTTAAAAATTTAGATTTTTACTTGTGGTCTCGACAAATTACCCAAGACTTTTATAAAAGCAAACGACCGAGAAAAGGGTTTCGAATAGTGTTATTAAACGGCTCTTTAAGCCGATTTTTAAAAACGGTTAGCTAAATATTTTAACCAGGAGGATATGCACGCCTGAAGATTTTGCATCTTTATAGGCCTAAAAGTAACATCTAATGAAATCTCGAGGTTTAGACAATACTTTTTTCTGGCTAAAATATTTAGTTTTTCTTTAAAAATTCGACTCAAATGGAGCCGTTTAACAACACTAGTCAAAATCTAAAAGGGTAAAAGCCATAGAGAAGGTTGATAAAAAATAATCGTTCGTTATATACCTTTTATTAATACTTAATACACGTTGACGTAATTCTCTGCTTCACACATAAAATAATACCAGAAAATATGAATAATAAAATATTATCTAAAATGGCAACAACAAAGAAAAATTTTCCAATATAATTACAAATATTAAAAATTAATTATTTTTTAAAATATTTAACTTTTAGACCCTATATACAAAACAAAAATTATTCAATTTATTTATATGAATCTTTGATGTGGCATAATTATATGTAAAAAATATAAAGAGAAGAATGAAAAGGTCTGAGAATAAAAATGCCAATCTAAAAGAGAATATTAAATTTATGAATAAATTATTTCTCAATTCATTAAATATAAATGAAGGGGGCTTAAAAAAAATTTGATTTATATATATAACAAATATATGAGATAAATCGATTTGATTAATCTTTAAGTTTGTCAAAAATTATGGGATACTAAATCAATTCTTAACCAGTTTTATATATTGAGGGGATTACAAATTACATTGATAATTTTATAGAATATAATTAAAAAGAAAATATATTTATATCCTCCAATTAATACGTTTTAAGAATATAAAGTATTTTCTTAAAAAACCTTAAAAAAATCTAAAAACGAATGGCAAAAAAACTAATTTTCGAAATCGCGAGAAGGAAATGAGTGTAATATTTTTTTTTTAAAACCAACTTAAAATAAAAAATAAAGGTATCAAAACCTGGGGTAAACTGCAAAGAAAGCTTGCGACCCAACATGCTATCATCATTCCCTTTTGCCTTCTTTCGGCATAGCGAACCGATAATGGATGCAAAATTGACATATATCTATCGATCGCTATGCACACCAAAACAAAGGACGAAAGGTAAAGACCGAATATACGCACGAACATCAACAAACGACAGGCGATATCCCCGGCCATCCATTTGACAGTTATTCTCCAAGATATTTCTAAAGGGATCAATAAAAACGCCACGAATAAATCGGCTATGCACAAGTTGAGTAGGAGAGTTCTCATCCGGAAATAGGATGTGGAGGACGCGAATATGAGAGTCTTTTTCTTGAACGTGTCCTTCAGGCTGGCAAAACTTCGTTTGGAAAAGGTGACGGGGCTAGTCAGAAACACGGAACGATTCAATTTAGAATACTGGTAGGAATCGTTATAAAAGTTTTCCGATTGAACCGATAATCCATCAGGCATCAGCGATTTTGCACTCGAAATTAGCCCTCCTCCCGTTTTAGCATAGCTATTATTATTATTATAACGAGGCAAGCGCGGATGATGATAAAAAGATCTATAAGTAGCGGCCGAGTTAAGACTGACTATGAAAATTATGTTGGCTAAATTGGCCAAGGCCGCTATGATAAATAATATGGAATACATTATGATCGCGAATAGGTTAATATTTGTGAAAATAAGTTCGGGATCGTGTTTAGTAGAATTTGCTGAGAAATGATCATAAATCCATAATAAATCGGATATATTACTACTTCCCATTAGGTATTGGAGCGTAAGGTTCAAATTCATCTTCTTTTTTTTAAACGAAGATCGTGCTAACGATTTTGAACAATTTCAAGTTATTGCAATATACCATAAATTATATGTGATGTATTTTCGTGTGGAATTCTGAGATATCTAACAAATTAAAAGATGGAAATATGACGAATTTTCTTTTTCTATGCTATTTTTTACGCGTTATGTTTATGATAAGTATTTCCTAATTCCCCTCTTATTGAATTATAAATTCGGATATAAATTTTAATTTAAAATAAAATTAAACATTTTTAAATTTTGTTGAGCTAATAATTTTATTAATAAAGAATAAAACTTGCACAACTTTAAGTAGAATTCAAAAAAAAATAAAATAAATATAAAATTATGGCAAAATGCACAAATAAATGCATAATATTTTTTTTTTAAATTAACCAATAAAAAAAAATAGGTATTAAATTTCGGAACCCTGTTTAAATATAATAAATATTTTTCTTTATATTATTTTTTAGAAAAAAATAAATTGATAGAATTATCAAAATATTTTTCATCTTTATTTTTGAAAAAATAAATTATATTATTTAAAATTTTGGAATAAAAATAACTTTTAAAATATTATCTAATTAATTATTTTATACTGACATACAAAGTAATCTCTCTATCCAGGGCACATTTTAGATTATTAGATGGGGACTCGATATCAAAATGAATAGAAGCGGCTGGAAAAACTTCTAATTCTTAAACTGAAATTTTATGAGAGAGTTGTGAACTTAAATTATGTTTTTGCAAATAATAATTATATTATATATAAACTCCTTAATTCATTCTAAGATAATCAATAAAAAAAATATTTTTTTTTGTTTTTACCAATATTTAAACAATAATTACGAATCCAATCAGCTATGAAATGAATTAAATTAAATGTAACAATATACAATTAATAGTGATTATTTCCCGATATAATTAGTTCATGTAGATTAAAATTTGTTCTACATAAAAGAGAAAGATTGGACTATTTAAATTCACCAAAACTAATAATGAACATTTTATATATAATAATCCATGGTATTGTTGTTAAACGGCTCGATTTTAAAAAACGGCTTTCCCAATATTTTAGCCAAATTAAGCAAACTTTACGATTTCGTTAATAGACTGCGATCTAATCTATAAGTAAAATCTTCAGTAAAATATCGGGTTAAAAGTTTTTCAAAATCGAGCCTTTAACAACGCTATTGCCAGGAAAAGCAAAATATAAAATATGATCTTGATTTCGACATTTTCAACTGAAAAGGAAGTAGGGGTGGTAGCATATATAAAGGACTCATTTTGGAGATGAGACACAGTATCAAAAAAAATGCAAATATTACAAAAAAAAAACAAATTTAACTCTTTCACATTTTCTAATTTATAAATTCTGTTTAATCATCATCTTTACCTATCTTTTTTATCCTCCCAAGGACATATAGCATCATTAGTAACTGATTCACTCTAGAGTATAAAGTAGTTTCACATTATATTTTCATTCCCTCGTCCATTTAAGCAACTCTGCTTAAGATCTTAGCGCTTACAAAATTCTTCGAGGAAAGTAATTCTATTAATTTTAAAATATTATAATAAGTTGATTTATATTGATCAAATAATTTAGAATATTCATAAAACTCGGATATCGTTAGTGACATTAATATTTATTATTATATGAAATAAAATAAAAATTGAAGTATATAATTTAACTACCTTTATTATAATAAATTAATTATGAATTTAGTATAAATGCAAAATAAAAAAAACGATCTTGATCCTCAACGAATATTATTAGCCAAATGCCGTGGCCTCCTGTAACTTGGGGGTGCTTCCCGCCATTTTTATGGCGAGTTTTTAATAAAATGATTTTATATGCCACTAGGAAAATAGGATTGATGTTTAAGGAATATTCGACGAATACAGAATTTGTTTGCAATGTTAATTTTTAAACCATCTCCCGTTACAAAAATTGATGAGTATCTTATTTCTTCTTATAAATATTCTGAACAATATTTAAGAAAAGACCTTTAAATTATTTTTTTAAGGCTTTTCAAAATGTCAAAAATTAGATTCATAAACTTTCTAAACTTTAATTTAAAATAAATAATTAGCTATTTAAAATATAAAAATAAAAACATGTCCAAAACATAATTTTATAGAATTTTAAATATTTAACAAACAATTTCATCAAAATTTAAAATTTACGAAAGTTTTGAATTTTTTTTAAAATGGTTTTTGCACAGTTTAAAAATAGAAAATAAATTATATTTACACAATTTTTTATTGATTTTGAAGCAATCTCTCAACCCTCAACTCAGATTTGAATTATATTATAATTTTTTATAATCCTCAAAAAACGAAAATTTATTTCCTTTTCATATAAAAATCTCTAAATAATTTTTTTTAATATATATACTTTTTATCGTTTTTTGTCACTTTTATATTCTTGTCTTCTTGAAAATACAAAAAAAAACCCTATATCTAAAGGCTTTATTGGTTAAATATTTGTAACGCTTGATAGAATTTTATTTCTTACTCTATGTCTATTCCTTTAATTCTTATAATATTATATATGCTAGATATCGGCCATAAGGGAGATATTTTAACAGCTATAGGGACCCTATTTAATGCCGCCAGCAGATGCCAAAATATTTTAACTAAGTCAACAGGCGATAAAAGCTAGTACCATCAGATTCCGGGAGAAAAAAGTGACAAACCTTGAGGTTAGGTTTTGTGCAGAACCCTGGCATAAATTTCGCCCCATGGTTGACAAACCTGTTCAAATATACTTCAATGGGTCTACAATAATTACTACTCTAATAAGAAAAAATATTTCTTAGAAATTAAATCACTAGTTCTGGTTTTATATTTTTTAATCTGGGTGATTTATTTTTTAATTTAAGCGTTTCATTTATATATCTGGACAATTATTACTTTTTCTGGATAATTAAGTTTTTTTTATCTGGACATTAACAAATAATTCTGAGTATTTGAGTATGTCCTGGTTCCACTTATTACAAAACACTGGCTAGCGTGGACTAAACAAAAAAGTAAGAAAAAATAACAAGAACGAAAAAACGAAGAAAACAAAAAAAAAAGGAAAAAAACATACATAAAAAATAAAATAAGGAGAAAAAAATCCAAAAAAATAACGATGCCACCAGACACCTAAAACAAACAAAAATGAGGTGTCCTAGTTAACAACCAACCCTAATAAGTATCCAAAAAAATAAAGAAAGAAATATCAGTGCATTATGAATGATTTAGGATTCAAGTATAGAGTATTTTCATCAATTTTTTTTTAAAAAATTGAATATGTCAGATCAAAAATAATCATTGGCAAATTATTAGGAATTCTCCAATGTGAATATTGTGTGTAAAATCATTGTCCATCCCCTTTTTACAAAAATTATAATATGACGCAATTTTGTTAAGCTCAGAAAAAAATTATTCCTTCGAAATCAAAAGAAATTTGCATAATTTTTTTTTTAGTATTTTAACTTTATCTTATATATTTTAACACAAATTTAATTAATTATTAATTTATTTTATTAAATGTGCAAATTTATTTTTATATGTTTTTTATATATCAAATTTTAAGTTTAATAAAATTGCAATTCCCAGCTCGGCCTGGATACACGGGCCGGGCCATATCTTAATTTTAATATAACCGGGCTAGGCCTGCATATTTTTGAAATACCCGGGCGGGGTCTAAAATTTGGAGAAAAATAATTACCCGGGCCGGCCCATATATTTTAAAACCGAATATTTTAAATCGCCATTCTTAGCTATATTGATATAATATTTTTAAAAAATCCGGGCCAGGCCAGGTCGTGCAAATGGTATTTCTACAGGTCTCTGATATATTTCCCATACACTAATAATAGCATATTTTTACAGAATGCGGGTGTCGGTAAATAATCACATACTAAAATTATATTTAAAACTGGTTAAAATAAAAATAAACTAAATATAGGCCTATGCAAGATGTGATGTGAATACAATAATTATCTGAAATAAAATCCAATTCCCTGGAAGATTACTCCCCAGAAGAAGAAAAAATTTAAGAAAATTCCTGAAAAAAATTCCCCGATAAATAAATCATAGGAATATAATTCCCTGGAAAAAAAAATTACCCGGGAAGGGAAAAAGGATTTACCATCAAAAAAAATATCCATTTTTTTTAGATTCTAGAAAATAATTTTTTTTTAGATTCTAGAAAATAATTTTTTTTTATATTCTAGAAAATAATTTTTTTTTAGATTCTAGAAAATAATTTTTTTTAGAAATTTTTAAATTAATAAAAAAAAAATTCTCTGGAACATGTATCCCTGAAAAATATTTCCCAAATAAAATTGTTAACCAAAATTATAAACAATAAAAAGCAGTTAATGTTAAACTAAAACCTTAATTTTTAAAATATTATTGATTAGATAAATCATATAAGGTGTAACAATATAGTCTTATCCAGGAACCCAGTTATGGTAAAAAATTTAGCAAAACAATTAATTCTAAAATAAACTAAATACCTAACTATTTCATACCCCCTAACCAAATTATCGGTCTCTGATGTTAAGCAAAATATTATCATAAGTTTACATTTAATTGTAGGTTTCATGTTTTCTTTCCAAAATGTCAATAATCTAGTTTTGGTATTGATCAATATATTTCTAAATTAACCAATTTAAACGCTCGAAATTAAAATTAAAATACTTCTTAAAGGTTGAGAACACTCAAAGGTTAGGATAAATATTAAATGGATAGAATTATTTCTTTGCTCAGTTAAAAAAGTGAATTGACAAAAGGCGGATTCAGTTTAAAAGGTAAATCTCTCAGAAAAATATATGGAACAAGATATATTCATTAGCAATTATCGCGGTATTGCTTTCTTCCCGATATTAATTACGTTAATAAAATTCGATACATATCATTTACAAAATAGTTTTCATTATATGGCCTTCGCTATAAAATTTCGGCTATTATATATTCACGATAAAAGTTTCTCTGTTGTGTATTTCCTCTAAAAAAATCTTGGTAAAGGGTTTTTCTATAAAAATAAAGTTCGATATGGTCTTTGCTGAATAGTATTTGCGAATGTAGATTCACGACAAAAGTTATAAAATCATTTCGTTTTACTTTTAATAAACATTCGCTTTAAAAGTTTCGCGAAAATGTTATAAAAGTTACGTAAAATTTAAACCTGTATTGAGTTAAAAATCTTTGAAGTATTTTTTTTTAAAATAAATTGTGACCTTATCTCGAAAAATTTTTTATATTTAGAAATTATAAAAAATTTAATTATATGTTAGCTGCAATGTGTTTTTTCAGGCAATGTGTTATTTTTCTAACTAT